CATAAAGATTTTAGGGGGGGAGGGGCAGCCAGGCGTGGCTCAGCGGTCAAGCGTCCACCTAGGATCCAGGCGATCAGGGTTCGATTCCCGGTCAGGGCACATGCCCGGGTTGCGGGCTGCAGCCGATCAATGACTCTCCCATCATTGATGTTTCTATCTCTCTCTTCCCCTCTCCTTTCCTCTCTCCGAAATCAATAAAGATATATTAAAAAAAAAAAAGATTTTTGGGGGGTTGGATGGTGGTGATGGTTGCACAACTCTAACTTTACTAAAAAAATTCACAATTAAAATGAGCAAATTTTATAGTATATATATTATACTATAAAGCTGTTACACACACGTACTCACACCAGAGATCCCAGAATGGAACACAACTTTAGCAATTTTGTTTGTAAAACAGTAATAGAAGACATTTTGATTGGCCAGACAAGATATAGGCTTCCACACTGCCCATTATTTTGAAGTCTCATTGAAAAAGATTCCCCTACTTGAAATCTACTGTTTTCATTTCATGAAGAGGAAAAAAACCCACAATATTGATAATGTATATTTTGTGCAAAAAGGGGAAAGATTGTAAATGGGGCGCCTAAGCCCAAGGTTACTAATACCTGGAACAAATGCTTCATAACCTGAACACTGAAGACACTAATAACTCTACTATATGACTATTCGCCATGGCTCTTGTTGCCTAGAGTGCAGTAATGTAACCTACTCTGCAGGTTTTTGACCTGCAGAATCTTAGTGTTGCAGTAAATCTTTCAAGTAGAGACGAACAACTCAACATATTTGTTCCTAAGAACAAGCATCCTGAGAATGAACAGGGCATTAGATTATGGAGGAGAATGCCTAGGTTTGTGATAGCTGTGTTTTTTGATCAACTTAATGCAGGTTGTTTTGAAGACTACAAAAATGTATATTTCTTTTGTTTTAAATAGCAAAATGAAAAGTTTGAGTAATCAAAATTTATTTATTTATTTATTTATTTATTTAAATATATCTTTATTGATTTCAGAGAGAGGAAGGGAGAGGGAGAGAGAGAGGTAGAAACATCAATGGCGAGAGAGTCACTGATCGGCTGCCTCCCGCACGCCCCCCAACTGGGGATGGAGCCTGCAACTGGGGCATGTGCCCTGACCAGGAATCAAACCCCAATTGTCTGGATCCTAGGCCGACGCTCAACCGCTGAGCCACGCCCGGCCGGGCTCAAAATTTATTAATGAAATTAGCCTGCCTCTTTGGATGCAGTTGATTACCTGGAGATACACTGCAGATTTGTTGGAGGAAAGTGAGTACATTTTTGTGTATGTAAAATTCCTGTTTTCCTTTAGAGTGGATGATTTTTGAGAAAATTTCCACAAAAGATACTTTATGATTCTAAATCATGGTACATTCAACACTCAATTACACTTTATCATCATTGTCCACAAAGTATAGCCCTGCCTCAGGGCCTTTGCACTTGTTATTCCTGTATCCTGATGGATCATTCATTCCCTAGATGGCCAAGGTCCACTGCCTCACTTAAGTCCCTGCTCAAATATCACTTACTCAGAGCAGCCCTCCCTGATTGGTCCATCTAAAAATAGCATCATCATTATCCCTTTAGCCTACTTTCTTTTTCTTTGTAGCACTTAACCACTGTCTACCTTATAGGCTTGCCTTACCACTAGGATATGAGGTCCATGAAGGCAGAGACTTCATTGGTATTGTTTATTGCTATATCCCCAGATTCTGGTACATAATAATTGCTCAAGACATATTTGTTGAATTACTTGCAATTTGACTTTACATATTTTCCTCTTTTGCCTCCCTCCTCAGATAGTGAATTCATGGAAGGCAGCCAAAGGCTCTGGCTGCTTACTTATCTTCTCTAAAGCAATTAGCTCCATTCTGCATGGATGGTAGACATTCAAGCCAGATTTACTGAATGAATGCCCTGAACCTGAATGTGTAACCAGGCTAACCAGTCAGCCTTCTCTGCAAGTGAACACCAACAGGACCGTCTTACCGTTCAGCCCACCCTGTACAAAGTACTCTCATGTATATTAACTCATTGGATCATTTTGCCAATACTGTGTAGCAGTTCCTAAGGTTTGCCTAAAGAAATGAGCACTCAATACAACAAATGTTCATTTCTGGCATGTACAGTTACATGAATACTTTGGGGAGGTCTCAGATTATCAGTAGCATTTAATATGTTTTTGGACATCTGAAAAAATATTTTAAAAGACTGAATCACATTTAAAATAAATAGGTAAGTGAAAATAAAAAAAGACTATCTTGACACATATGTGTACCTGGAGAGATTTTTGGAAAACTGTTGAACAAAGTCTTCACAGTGGTTATTTCTAGAAGGTGGAACCTTGATAATGTTTACTTTGTTTGGCTTTCCATTTTTCCCTTTTGAATTTTTAAAGCAAATTTGAAGGCCTCAAAATAAACCTATCTCTATACAATGCTTTATTTTGTTTAATTCGTCAGGGCAAGTAGCATAAAAAACACTAGTACTCATTTTCCCGGCCAGCTGATTCTCAGGAACTTTTGATACCGATTTGTAGTAAAGCAACAACAAATACAAGAACCGGAATCCTAGAAGGTTTTTGGGTTTTTCTTAGGTTTTTCCATATTTACAGCCATGTTATTCTCGCAGCAAGAAAAAAGGTAGAGCAATGCTTCGTTTTTTGATAGTTTTTCATCATCTGCCACAAAAACTTTCCCGGATACACTGAGCTCCCTGAACAGAAGGCCCACCTCTGGCCCGGGAACTGCAGCCACCTCGGGGGCACACGAGGTGCTCACTCGCCTTCCCTCCTGGATTTCAAACCCTCCAGGTTCCCTTTCCCTTCTTTTTAACCGCAGGGACTGGGGAGAGATGCAAATCTCTCTACTGATGCCGACAGCACACGGTCCTCTGAGCCTGAAGGGCGTCGGGCTTTCTGTTCATGCCGAACTAAGGGCTTCCCGCGGGTGTGGCGCACCTTCGGGCCGGCGAGGCTTCTGCGCACCCGCAGCGTGCCCCGCGCCCGTGCAGCGCGTGTGCGCGGCCGTGTAACGCGGGGTCTGGCCCGTGGCTCACACACTCGGGGATGGCTC